GGCATGTCCCTTGGTTGTGGGCACATCCCCAGTAGGGTGTGTGCAGGAGGCAGCTGATCGATGTTTCCCTCTCATCGATGTTTCTAACTCTCTATCCCTCTCCCTTCCTCTCTGTAAAAAAATCAATAAAATACATTAAAAAAAAAAAAAGAATGTGTCTTTCTCCATCTGAAAAGAAGGACATCCAAGTTTGAGTGGAAGAGGGCACCACATGCAGAGTGGAACAGACCCGCTCCTTCCTGCTGAGGCTGCCCACAGGGCACAGGCGAGGGGTCTTCGGAAGACAAGTCAAATTGGGTGACTGGGAAGGGCCCCCCGAAGAGTTTACAAACCTTGCCAGGGTTTCCCTTAGCAGAGTTGGGATACCACTGGCGAGGGCCACACAGCGAGGGTGATTTTAGGTGATCCATGGGAAAACTTTAAAAATGTTTAATACTTATATATATATATTTATCTTAATGTATATTAAGAAAAGTGCAGCTCATTAAATCTGTAATTTTAACAGTATTTCTGATATAAAGTTCCTGGCAAATTAATTTATTTGAGAAAAAAAGGAGTACATTTAAAGTAAAATGTTAAGGCAATAATAGTACAAGTGGAACTTGGATATGGCTAACATGGTGACGATGGCCTGGGTGTACCCTGAGGGTGCAGTGGGAGGGTGGACGTGTACTTTGTGAGAAGGTGGAGATGGAAGGGAAGGTTTTCATGCAAACATTCTTGTCAGCAGCTGTCTTTCAATAATAAAGAATTACTGTTGCTGAGGAGAAATCCATTGTCTTGGAATAATGGCCAGGAATGAAAACAGCACAGCCTCCAGCTTCCTGGGCCTGCAGTGAGGTCCAGCTGAGGGGAGAACTAGCCGCTTTACCAGCCCCTTCAAGCCCCAACAGGCCCGTGTGAGACCACACTCAGCCCAACACCTGAGCCCTGCTGCAGGCACATTGCAAGAACTGTGCTCATCCGAGTCCGGTGTCCAAGGACAGGTCCCAGTGGAGGCCCCAGAGCCTGGTCCCAGCCAGGCAAGGACAGGATTTCCTCAGTCTCACAGCTCCTGCCTGGAGCCTGGATGGATTAAGCTCAGAGTGGTTACTGCCCAAAAGGACATACCAATATATGTGGGGCCAACCCATGTATATTCAGTTCACACCTTTATTTGTGCACTAGAGGCCCGGTGCATGAAAATTCGTGCACTGGGGAGGGGGGGTCCCTCAGCCCAGCCTGCGTCCTCTCCCAGTCCGGGACACCTTGGGGGATGTCTGACAGCTTAGGCCCGCTCCCCAGGGGATCAGGCCTAAGCTGGCAGTCAGACATCACTCTGGCAGCCCGGGAGCCCTGTGGGGAGGGGGCCTAAGCCATTAGTCGGGCATCCTTAACGCTGCCACGGAGGCGAGAAAGGCTCCTGCCACCACCGCTGCACTGGCCAGCCATGAGCCGGCTTCTGGCTGAGTGGCACTCCCCCTGTGGAAGCGCACTGACCACCAGGGGGCAGCTCCTGCGTTGAGCATCTTCCCCCTGGTGGTCAGTGTGCGTCATAGCAGCCGGTTGTTCCTGGTTGTTCTGCCATTAGGGTCAATTTGCATATTACCCTTTTATTATATAGGAGGGGCCTCAGAGTTCCCTGGGGAATGGATGACCTGATACCCTGGGATGAGAAAAGGATGTGTGTTCAGTTTAATGGAGAGAATAAAAAGGGATTAGATCCAGTTTTTAGGAACGAGAGTGGCTATATTTAGAATGTCCCAGGAAGGGGGGAGGTATAGATAGGTGATGTACAGAGGACTTTTAGGGCAGCAAAAATACTCTGTATCATACTATAATGGTGGATACATGCCATTCATTACATATTTGTCAAATCTGTAGAATGCACAAAACCAAGAGTGAACCCTACTGTGGGTGATTATGATGTGTCAATGTGTATGCATCAATAGTAACGAAAGTACCAGTCTGATAGGGAATGTTGATAATGATGGAGGCTATGGATACATGGGGGCAGTATGGGGGCAGGGATAATATGGGTTATCTCTATACCTTTTTCTTAATTTTGCTATGAACCTAAAAGTGCTCTAAAAAAAAGTAAAGTCTGAGAAAATTTGTGAACACCCAAAATCCAATCAAATTAACTTGGGGTGTGGGGAGTGGAGGGGGAAACTTCAGGGAGACCCAACTTGATTGTTGATGTAACTGAGGAAGCTTATACTGTATTTTATGGCTAAATAAAATATCTATATTCTAGCTAAAAAAAGAATATGCCAGGAACTGGTCATTATATCTTCAGTGTGAAGTAGGGGACAAAATGCCCAGACCCACAACTGGGCACTTTGATCACTCCTGGTGGTAGATAACATTGACAACCACAAACACAATCACATCAACAGCTAACATTAACTGAATACTTGCTATGTGCCAATCACCATTTTAAAAGCATTTAATCCTTACAACAACCTAGGAGGTAGATACTAATATTATCTTCATTCTACACATGAGAAAACTGAGGCACAGAGAGGTGAAGTGACCCACTGCAAGCCACAACTGGAGAGTGGATATGGAGGTATCTGGCACTACAGCTACATGATACTGCCATTAAGACCATCCAGATGACACCCATGCTCCAAGCTCATGCTCACCAAGTCATCCTCAAAGGCAATGCTGGCTGAGTCAGCAGAGTGAGGTCAAACCTTGGTTCTGTCACAGTTCAGTTTCTTAAGTGTTTTGTGCCCCGTCCTCCGTCTGGAAAATGGGAATAACAGCTGAGGGTGTGTGAACATGAAACGAGAGGATACACTCAAAGCCCTTAGCAGCGTACATGCATGGGGGAAGTAAACCTCCACAGTTACTTATGGTCACTGGCCAGCTTCACCTTCCTTCAGATAACTCTGAGAAACCTCCTAATAACAATCACTTTCTTTTACTGAGGGCTTCCCACATGCCATGCTCTCTGCTAAGAGCTTTGAGTTCATCCTCTGTCCAGTTTTCATACACCCTGCTAGGCAGGTGTTATCATTCTAATTTAAAACATTTGAATTCTGGTTTATCCATTTGCTCCTTGTAAATGTAATCATTTCTCCAGAAACAAACCATTTTCTGGGTATAAAACCATATAGTACCTTCCAGCCTGCAAAGCTGAGGCTCAGGCCGTAAAGGGCTCCATGGGGGTGTCCAGTGGGCCCTCCCAGGCACCAGCCATCTGACGCATGGATCCACCTCTATAGGCTGCCACAGGATATACCCGGGACACCCTGAAGCTGCTAATCCTAGCATCAACATTGTGCTTTTCCTTAGAGGATTTCCTTTCCTTGAACAAAACTGGTATTGGCTAATATTACCACATCATCGTAGACTGTTAACACCGATGCTTGTTTGATGTGTGGCCTCCTAGACATTTTCAAATGTGTATATACATCCTCTTTTAAAAAACAAAAATGGGATCCCATTTTATGTATTATTCTTGCTTTTTCACTTAATATACAATAGAAATCTTTCCAGGTCAGAGCATATAGCTCTATATCATTTTTTAAAAATGCTATGTATGCATTTTAAAAAATGCAGCACTTAACTTTTTAAAAAAATATATATTTTATTGATATTTTACAGAGAGGAAGGGAGAGGGATAGAGAGTTAGAAACATCGATGAGAGAGAAACATCGATCAGCTGCCTCCTGCACACCTCCCACTGGGGATGTGCCCGCAACCAAGGCACATGCCCTTGACTGGAATCAAACCCGGGACCCTTCAGTCTGCAGGCCGACGCTCTATCCACTGAGCCAAACCAGTTAGGGCTTAACTTTTTTTTTTTAACTGGTTAAGGAAGACTGAACATTTTTCTTTTTTATATAACTGCATTTTGTAATTTTTCACCAATGAAGATATATTACTTAGGTAAAAAAGGAGATCATACAGGCTTAAATAAAAAAGTAGTATTGAAGAGATAACACTTTAAAAGTAAACATAGCTAGTTTCATTTTTCTTAATTATTTTCTAGTTCTTGTCCACATACTAGTACAAGAGCTAGAACAAATATTTTTACCAAGCTATAACCATGCTGAAATACTCCTTTATCACGACATCTGAAACATTTGTCCATGTGTCTACAGAGCTGCCTTAAAAGCGTCTCTGAAGGGCCGGAGGGCCCGGTTGCGGAGGAAGGCGCTGGGCTTTCCACGGGGCAGCGTCTAGAGCAGAGCTCCAGGGACAGAGCCCTTAGCAATCTGGTGAAACTGCTGGACCCCTTCTCAGAATAATACTTTCAAATGTATAAAACAAAATATAGAGGACTACAAAAGAAACAGATAACTTTGAAATACAATAATCAAGGTGAAAAGATGCAATATAGCAATAATATATGTACTTCCTGTGTATTAAGAAACAAGTTTAGCAGTGAGTCTAATTCCTATCATAATTTCAGAGTAGTGATGAACACAAATATTTCTACAATATAAGAATGTGATTTGAAAACATCTGTGATTTCCACTGGTGACAAGCCTCAGTTTCACTAATACTGCAGCATCACTTGCATACGTTTGTAAGTGAAGGAAATGCTACATTTCATTTTATGTTAGCAAAAACAAAGATCTCTTTTTCCCCCACCCACATTCATAGATCTCCTGAATTCTATACAAGGGTAATGGGTTCTAGGTCAACAGATATCTACTCCACAGAATTTCTATACTTATTAGCCTGGGAAAGGTTTTCATCTTTTCTATCCCTTCTACCCAAACTACCAACATCGACAGCCCCCATGACTATGAGATATTCAGAATTAATTTTGGAGTTTCTCCCATCTCTAGGCATCTGCCCGGCCCCCAACCACTTTCACTCCCGGCCAGCCTCTACACATATGTAGACAGAAGCTCATCTTGCCATCTTCCAACTCAGCACAGTTCATATTTGCACTAGATTTAACATGCACATCCCTCCTTCTTCCTTCCTGATAGTTAGGAAGTCGTCTAACAAGTCCAGTCAGTTCTGAACGAAGGAAGCTGGGTAATCCGCCTACTTACTGGAGGCTGCCTTGTCCAAATAGATGTTTTTCATCACCAAAGGTATTTTCCAGGACTCTGCAAATCCAGAGGATCAGTCTCCTTCCTTCACACAAGCACCGGCACTGGATTCATTTCTGAAATCACCGGCACCGACCAGGCTCTGGTTCTTGGCCGAGGTTTCAGAAATTATCTGCAATTGTACTCTCTGTTCCTTCCACCACTAATTATAACATATTGCATTTGTGTGTGTGGCACTTCGTGCTTCTCAGAAGTAATGTTCACATACAAAATGCTGTTGTCCCAGAGCCAGGATGTGGACCCAGAACTCCGGATTCCTAACCCCGTGTTCATTCCATGATGCCATGATTCAATTAGTACTATTTCCATTATAACAGAATTCCTTAAACATAGTAAACTTGTGTCCCCTTTAACTAAATCATGTGCTCTCCTTTAACATTACTTGAAAATTTAAAATTCTTAAAATATTGTGGCTAGAAACAAAGCAAAGCAATGATAATTTTTTAAATGCTCTTTATTTTTAAAATACTACTCTTGTTTTGATTTTTTAAAACAACATATATTTAACATCAATCACACAGTATCTCAGAGTGATCAAATTGTCCCGGTTTTGCCTGGGACTGTTTTTAAAATGGAAAGTCCTGCAATCCACAAACCTCTTAGTCCCAGGAAACCCCTCAGTTTTGGACAAATCCTGTCCTGGGTAAACGGGAATAGTGGTCATACTAGATGTCACTGTGACTTTGATGTGGATTATTGGCCATTTTTCTTAAAATCCTGCATAAGGTTAAAGAGCACAGCAGGGGTCATTGACATCGCCACCTAGTGCTGCTCCACAGGGATGTGGCTCCTCTCCCATCGATGCCACACTAAATGGTCACACTTAGCCAGACAGAAAAGTCAAGTCAAATACTAATTTCTCTAAGTAATTTAAAAAAATTAAAAACATTTAAATCCCCCAAAGTTTAGGCTTCATTGGTTGTAACAACAGGAACCGAGTCACTCTAACTTAAGCAAAAAAGTGAATTTCTCAGAAAAATGAGGAGTAACTCACAGAATCCAAGGAAACCCTGGAGACCCAGGCTTTGGAATGGGAAGGAGCCAGGATAGCTCCTGGGATCTATGGAGCCGCATTCATGGCCAACCCCTTTAAACAGAAATTAGCAATCTTTTTCTGTAAAGGTCCTGATAGTAAACATTTTAGGCTTTATGGGGCAGTCTTTCTCATAACTACTCAATTTTGTCTTGGTGGCATGAAAGCAGCCATAGACAATACATGATTGGTCTATGTCCCAATAAAACCTTATTTACAAAAATTGCTGGAGGGCCAGATTTGGTACATGGCCATAGTTTGTTGATTCTTGCTTTAGGGTATATCCTTTGGCATGGATCTGCTCTAACTAGTTTTAATTTCACATCATTGGCTCAAGACTCAGATTCAAAGGAGACAGCATCCTATTGGCAGAACTTGAGTCACTTGTTCATTCTGTGGCCAGGGGAGGGTGGGGTTCCTGGACTGGCCAGACTTTATCCAATTAGAAGGGGGCGGTTCCACAAAGCAAAATTAAGTTCACCAAAAGAAAGAGGCATGGAAGCAGATGAGGCTGAAACAATAGATGTTCCACACGTCATCTTCTGATTTTCTTTTCTCGTCTTATTAGTTTCTACCACTTTACACTCTAGGGAAGGAGTAAAAAAATGCAGGTGGTACTAGCATCAGATTACAGTATTTTTTCAACTGACACTCAAATCCCATTTCTCCCAGTTTGGTGATTAGAATGGAACCATAAAGAAAGTTAACTGAATGATAAAGACTATCATCAAATTTAACCCTTCATTTTATAGAGGGAGAAACTGAGGACCAGAGAGGCTATGGAGCCTCCTGCATTGCCAGCTCCAAGGGGGCATATTCACATGTCTCTGTGAATGACATGCACCCCCTGGAGTTGTACAGGGCTCTGGGAGAAGTGTGTGGCTTGGGGCTGTTAGTTCATAAAAGGCCATTCCCGTCCCCTTCTCCTTCCCCCACAGGCACGTTTCCCCCAACCTCTAAGGGACCCCATGAGACTTGCAACCAGGGGAGCAATGGGCAGTGGCAGCTTGTCTCAGGCTTACCCCTAAACCTGTCTCCAAGTGCCCCTTTGAGCCAAAGCAGCCCAGCCTAGGATGAGAGCTGTTAGACAGGAGCAGAGCAAAGCCAATGGGCCAGGCACTGAAACTCACAAGGGAAGAAAGCCCTGGATGCCTAGCAAGGGGAAAAACTGGGAAAACAAGAACCTTGCCCCCAGGGTAACTCATCCTCCCTAGCATAGCACACTGGTCATGTGGTTTGAACCCATGATCTTTCCTCCCTAAAGATAACATCTAGGCCTCAGTTGTATTTCAGCTCTAGGTACAGAGAAGCAGCAAAACCAGACAAGTGACCCTTGGCTGCCTCAGGAACAGCTACCTTGACTAATGACGCCCTGCCCTGGCCCTGACCAATCAGTGGAGACCAGAACCCTGAAAGAGCACACCTGGAAAGCTGATGAATATTCTATTATGATCCTCCCCTGAGACCTCCCCTAAGATTTCTACCTGCAAGAAAGAGATAAACATGCTCAGGACAAAGGACCCAGTGTGTGCTCTCCCTCCAAGGAGCACACTGTGCCATTCCTGACCCCGCTCCTTCCCCCACAGGCATGTATCTCCCAGCCTCTAAGGGGCCCCATCAGACTTGCAACCAGGGGAGCAATGGGCAGGGGCAGCTCGTCCAGAGCTAACCCCCTGCACCTGTCTCCTGGGCCCCCTTTTCTCTGACTTCCCAGTGAGTTGAAGCAGCCCGGCCATTATCTCTCTAGAGTGGCCAGCTCCTCCTCTGCAGTGTATTTTCAGTAAACCCGACTTTGTTTTACTTTCATTTTCATTGACCTTAAAATCTTTTCTGCATTGTTTTGTGATTAATCACTATGCTTTAATTATGTTCAATTTGTAACAATGAAATTGGGGGTCACCACAACATGAGGAACTGTATTAAAGGGTCGCGGCATTAGGAAGGTTGAGAACCACTGTTCTATGCCCTTCCTTGTTTCATTGTCTGAAGTACATTTTTGCTGCCATCGTGAACCCAATGCCTTTTGGCTCAGTGCTGTGTAGCCCTTCCATGTGGATATCCCCAATCTCCATCCCCCTTTCCTTAAATAAATTCAATTTTCTTTCATCACTGTCTGAGATGGCTATTTAGCCTACCTGCACATCACCACCGAATTTAACCTTTCAAGAACTTCGTTTTCTGACTTTCAGTCCAGGCCCCTCTCTCTGTTGCACCACTAAATTAAGTCTAATTAAGCCCAAGGCTTGATTTCCCCAACACAAATAACCCTCTCTTCTCTCCTCCAACCAACGAGGACCTGGCACCTTTGTCCTTTAGATTCAGCCTTCTACACACCTTTGCAGAGTTGGCACATCTTCAGTGGCAGGATTTGAGAAATACATACTGTACCACCTCCCCTGTGATATATATTGCCTTAGTCTATTATAGAGCTGAAGTTAGAGTGACCAGTGAGTGAGGAAGACAACTGCTCTTTTACATTCTGGCAATTCAGACCCAGGAAGAGTGCTGTTTCTTTATTCCATGAGCGGAGTATTCCAGGGCTCCAATGCCTTGGAGTCAACCTAGCCCTCATTTGACTCCCCTCACATCTTTTCTCCTCACACCTTTCTCCTTCTTTTTTTTTTTTTTTAATATATTTTATTGATTTTTTACAGAGAGAGGAAGGGAGAGGGATAGAGAGTTAGAAACATCGATGAGAGAGAAACATCGATCAGCTTCCTCCTGCACATCTCCTACTGGGGATGTGCCCGCAACCAAGGTACATGCCCTTGACTAGAATCGAACCTGGAACCCTTCAGTCCGCAGGCCGACGCTCTATCCAGTGAGCCAAACCGGTCAGGGCACCTTTCTCCTTCTTGAATGTGGGGGTGCTCTTTGATCTTGGTTCAGGTGAAAACCAGAGGAAATCCTAGATTAAGCTCTGATGGCCAAAGAATGTCTACTAGACTCAGGCAGGGCAGTCAGAATAAGATAAGAGCATGGGTTTTATGTTTATGAAAAAAAATTGCATTTTGTGATACTTCTGTAAAAGTTGAGCTGAACAACAGAGTGGTTTTGACAGGGGGGAAACACCACATTGCACATGGCAATAGGGTGAAGGGAGTCCAAAGGTCCCAGTTGTCTCAGTGCTAAGGGATTTCCCAGGACTTGGAACTCTCAGTGGTGAAATCAGGAAAATCTCAAACAAGAATGAGTTGGTCACATAGTAAATAATAATAATAATAATAATTTACTCTGTGTTAGGCACTGTTCTAAGCACTTTACACTCATTTACTTCTAAACTGACTCAGTGGGAGAAGTACTATATTTGTTTCTGTTTTCAAAATGAGGAAATTGAGGATCAGATAAGCCAGTTTCAAAAAAGGATGCTTATTCACAAGTGAATGATCTATAAATACATTTATACAGGACTGGAATAAGTGCCAGCAACACTACAGCAGAGTGAACCTAAGACAACACTCAAACCATAAGGAAGGAGAGAGAGTCATTTTAGACAATTACGACATGTACTTATTGTGCATTTAGTTTCTCAGCCATTAAATGGGTAAAATATTACTTACTTCGCAAAACCATGCCATGGATTAAATGAGATAATGGATGTGAACATGCTTTGTAAATTGTTGATGATTAATGTATCATCATCCATAGTATTACATAAGGACATTATTTTGAGTATTTGTGTTTTTACTGCCAGTGCAGTTTTGAATAAGAGAGGGCAGCCACATTTAATACTTACAACACTAAGAAAACCTTTTTATTTATTTTTTGCCTAAGTACAAAAGTAATACAGGGCCTCACAATGTAAAATAAATAAACAATCCAGAAGTAAATAGGGTGAACAGTAAAAGTTCTCCTTTACCTTCTGCCACAAATCCTATTCCTCTGATTTCTTTAAATGTCTCTGAATAACTTAAAATAAAACCACTAGAACTCAATGGGATGTCTCATGTCCCCCTCCTCCACCTTAGAGAATGCCATTCCTTCTCATGGGATAAGATGCTCACCACTAAGCCCTTAGCAGAAAGAGAGATGCCTCCAATGCCTAGCCCTGCTTCCTTAAAAGAATTGCCCAATGCAACTGCTTCCTGGCCATTGAGAATATCCAGAGTCATTTAAAAAGTAGATCCTGCCATTAGTGTTAGAAAAAATTTTCAAAGCATTTTGCATGTATTGCCTGTTCAGTTTTTACAAAGACCCTATTAGGTAGGCAGGATTCATAAGTAGTCCTATTTCAGAGATGAAGATTCTGAGGCACAGAGAGGTCTAATGCTTGTCACTCACTGCTAAGTGTGGTCTTTATTTTAAAGCCCCAGTGGTGGATAATCCTCATGCAGGGCTTTGGGAAGCATGAACACAGCCACCACCACAGAATGCCAATGTTTCTCCAAGGCCACTTC